GTGTGTGTGTGTGTGTGTGTGTGTGTGTGTGTGTGTGTGTGTGTGTGTCACCATGTGCATAGTGCATAAATGAAATGTTTTTTAATTAATGAAGAAATAACATTTAAAAGACAGTAAGTGTTGGTGAAGACATGGAAAAACTGGAACCCTCCTACATTGCTGGAGTGACTGAAAAATAGTACACTCACCTTGGAAAACTGGCAGTGCCTCAAAAGGATAAACATAGTTTATGACCCAGCAATTCCAATCCTAGCAATATACTCAGGGGAACTAGAAACACATGCCACACAAAAACCTCTACACAAATGTTCATAGCAACGTTATTCATACAGCAACAAAGTAGAAGCAGCTGGGCACAGCGGCTCATGCCTATAATCCCAGCACTTTGGAAGGCCGAGGCAGGAGGATCACTTGAGGCCAGGAGTTCAAGACCAGCCTGGACAACATGGCAAAACTCTTGTCTTTACAAAAAATTAGCTGAGAATGGCAGCACATGCCTGTAGTCCCAGCTACTGGGGAGGCTGAGATGGGAGGATGGCTTGAGCCTGGCAGGTTGAGGCTGCAATGAGCCACAATTGTGCCACTGTACTCCAGCCTGGGCAAGACCCTGTTTCAAGAAGAAAAAAAAAAAAAAAGTAGAAACAACCAAAATATCAATCAACTGACGGATAAACAGAATGTGGCATATCCATAAAATGGAATATTTGTCAAAAAAAGAAACGTAGTACTGACATAAGCCATGACATGGATGAACCTTGGAAACAGTATGTGATGAGAAAGAAGCCAAACGCAGAAGACCACATACAGTATGATTCTACTGATATGAATTATTCAGGAGATTCCATGGAGGCAAAAATAGAATATTGATTGCCATGGGCTGCGGGTGGGGGGCAGGTGTGGAGGTATCAGGAGTGACTGATAATGGGGGGTAGGTTTCTTTTGGGGTGATGAAAATGTTCCGACATTAGGTAGTGGCAATGATTGCACAATTCTATGAATATACTAAAAACCACTGAATTGTACATTTTAAAAGGATAAATTTGGTAGTATGTGAAGTCTATCTCAATAGAGCTATTATTTAAAAGAAATTAAAAGGGGAATTAAAACCAAGTGTCATCAAAACTTGCCTTTTGAAGACTTTTTCTCTGCAAGAATATAGATCTAGTAGCAGTGATTAAGCACTCCTTTCATCCTCA